CATCGACAAACGAATCTCTCCTTCGTGTACTTTCATTCGAAATGAAGGTCCCCCTAACATAGTTTAGTGTAATATTAAATCAGTGTATGGAGTTGTTGGATGCCCCTTTTGCGTAATTTTGTGCCTGGATCTCGACCTCAAAGAAAGTTGACATTACAACCATGTTGCTAATACGAGGTAATAAGTATTATTTTGGTTTTTATAAACATATGATCATCTTATGTATATATATAAATAAATATATAAATAAATAAATATATATATATATAAGACTTCCATCCATTCCAGTAAAGTCTGATAAAGATTGCCTTTTGGGGAAGGAGGCTATGCGAATTTCGATGGAAACGTAAATATTGGCAAAGTCCAGCCATCAGCCATGACTAAAAAATGTCAACCCTTCGTTTTTGGCTCACTTTTGGCAAGCTTGCGAGACTCATGTTCTCGTTGAAAACCTAAGCATCGCGAAACCTACCACGTGGTCTCGATCGGAGTCTAAAGCTAATCCCCACAAGACTTCTGATCTTATGGTGTGTTTTAAGCTTCAATACATGTTTCCATCAGCATTGCGGTTGATCCCTTTGGGCCAGCTGGAGTGGGACCCAGCCATCCGGCCTTGAAATGCCAATGTGACCTGCTGCTACCAATCAGACTTGGCTTCTTTTGTTTCAGACAGCATTTGTTACGTTGCCATGTCGACGACAATTGGCTCTGGCATGTTTCATGGAATTGGAGGCTGTATGTTGCTCTTTACGCCTCTGCTGCACTCGCAGGTAGAGAGCCGACGTATGCAAGAATGGGCACCACGACTCAAAGGATTGGCTGAAATGCTTCGTTGGGCCGATGCTTTGCAGACGCAAAAGAGGTGGGAAGCCGAGAAGAAGCCAACTTTCGTCTCCTTCAGACGCCGATGGCAGATAGGGGTAGAAAAGAGGAGTCATGTAAACAGAGAGTGGGCAACAAAGCGACTCAACAGCGTACCAATCGGTGCGAGGGCAGAAGGGAGCATGGCGACTGTACGCGATCATGAGGGTGTGTGGAGCAATGCGTGTCTCTCGAGAAAGGGTCTCAGAGACGACGACGACGACGACGACAGTGCTGAAGACATTGCAGCCTCCGGCAGGTCTGGCCAACTCTCCGCTCACGTAAGTACTACTATCGTCTACTAACAAAGTTAATGTGCAATCGCAGACTTTTGTCTGCAAAGTCGGTAAGGGACCATGGCTTTCAGCGTCGCTTTCGTGGCTCGTCAGTTCGGCGGACGGCTTGTGACAAAGTGAATTTGTGCAGCCTGACAGTCAACGCTACTGTCCTTAATTGAAAGTAGGCTTTCTGCAACAAAGTATACGCTTTACGTGATCGTGTCTGCCATGTTTTTCTGGTCGGGGTAGGTAGTTTTGTCGTCACGACACTCACGACGCAGTGTCGAATCCGGTTGGGGGGGCTGACGAGACGATACGGCGAGGTCGGACCTACGGTCTACGCGGCAGGAGATAGTTTTCTGTGAAGTGTGGCAAAAGGAAATGGGATCCTGATATATAATCGTCTGAATGTGGGAGAACTGAACAAATGAGAAGAAAAGTTGAGTTTCGAAGAATCTTCTATGATAGGAGTGATGTGAAGACTTTCATTTTTTTAATGGAAGTACATGATGAAGAGATTCGTAGGTCAATCTCACCAGAAGACGTCGGCGTTTTACTGTAGCCGTTTAGCTTTAATACGAAGCTCAGAGTGATGCAGTATCCATGAAGAACGAAAGCTCAGCCGGTCTTCACCCGAAATAAATGCAAAAAAAGTTGGGTTTCGATGAATATGTTGTTTCATAATTGTTGAGCCTACTTCTATTTCAAGTGAAAGTGTTGGGTGAAGAGATTCGATGGTTGGCTCCACGAGAAGACGACAGCGCATTCCTCTTGATAAGCGGTCGATTGACTTTACTGGAACATTCATGCTGACGCTGTTTCCGAGGCAATCTACTACGGTTCCGGTGAAAAAGGGCTAAGCTTTCGTCCGTCATGTGACGAACATCATCAGAGCAAGGTATCATCGTCACAACCAAATTCAAGCTAACGACTCAAGAAAACTCACCTGCAAATGCATACAAACTGTTTACATACTCTATATTTGGCATCTTTGATCAAGTATAAAGTGATTTGATTAGTTACCTCGAAGCATGTGAGTGTGTCTGTCTCTGTATGTTTATATGCCTGTCGTATTCTGGTGGAATCGACTGTTGAATCTCTTTACTAAACCCCTAAAGTCTGGATTCCCATTTGGCATGGCAACCTAGCTTGACACTGTAGATTCCCTTATCGCAGTGTGTCGTGTGCTCCGAGTATATCTCGTGGCAAACCCTTTACTACATGAGCAAACTTATCAACTAATATTTCGTATATAAATATATAAATATATACAAATATAATATAAATATTATCTACTAATAGCAAACTAGAAGTGGCCACCCCCCTTTCTCTTGCTCTTCTATGACTTCTATTGAGTGCCAATCCCCAAATTTGATGGTTTTACTTTCTTTGAATATGCTCACTGTAGACGTCTTCTCTTGTCTTCTGATGTTCCTCTCTGGTCTCCTTGTAATCTCTTTCACTAAAATAAAAAGTATTACTCAAATATATGAAGACCAAGATGGTGTGGCCTTTTGTGTGTTCGTAATATCCTTTCGCTTTATTGAAGTGGGTTGACCTCTTTGTCGCATCTTGGTCATGTTGTCAGGGTGACTTAGTAGAACGCCCCTAGTCCGAAGTCGTCTGCCATAGTAGTTGTCATGATTCCCAGCATCAGACAGTGGACTTGGTACATTCCAGATAGTTTCGCCGGCATCGTAGTCGGCGTATGCGTGTGTGCCTGTTTGTGTTCGCTTATGCACAAAAACCGCAGTGATGGCTCAAAGTAATTAGAACAACACAAATAACGTCTGCTTTCGACCATCAAGGTATCATGACTACTATGTCCCGCTTTCTGTATATGTGTGGCAATCATCACTCCGATTGCTCAAGGTTGGACATACGTCTAGTCATGTTGATGAGCCTTTATTTTGTCTAAGAGTGCAGAGAAATGACTGTGATTAGAACCAAGGCAAGAAAAGACTAATTAAATATATGAAGACCAAGATGTTGTGGTCTCTGGTATGGGCGCAGTCATCTTGTCGCCCTGACAACGAGACCAAGTTGCGACAACGAGGTCAACCCACTTCAAGAAAAGACTAGTTGCGTCGTCTCCTTTTTGTAGGCGACTCAACTCTCTCTCTATCCTTCAGTCTTTTAATTAAGCACACATAATTTTTACTTACCTTCTTATCGGTATTCCTTACACTCAAGATATTTTCTATTCGGTTTATTTCTATGGCTTCTCTAATTTTTCATTTAGCCGCAAACGTGCCATAATCAGGAAAAAGAAGAGTTTTAAGAACATTCAATCTCGTGTTCCGTTTCTGGCCTGTGTTCAGCAAGCTCCGATTTTTGAACCCAACAACCTTTGCAGGCGCTTTTGTGTTCAGCCACTCTT